CAAATGCATCTTCATTTCTATGCCCCCAAGTCTTTGTGATTTTAGATTGTTGTTAGCTGGAATTTGAATAAAAATCATATGATTCAAAGAAACCTTAAGCATTATTGGCTAAGAAGAATACAAATTAACATGAACTAAAATTATACACAACAACCTTATATGAATAGTAGAAGATGGATAGGGATGAATTTGGATTTAAAAAAAGCTTCAGAAGTGAATAGTAATCGGCGGATTAGAGATAACTCAAAGGTCAATTTATCTTTAATTTAGCTTAAACTTATATTTGGATCATTGGATGGAGACACTACACAAGGGCTAAACACACATGGAAATAAAAAGACTGAGAGTGAATGTCATGGAAAAAAAACAAGAATTTGGCAGTAACATATATTCTGTACCATTAAGAGCTAGTATTGAACTAAAATTCATACGCAGTCGTGTGATGTGTCTCGTGAAATTATGTCGTGCAAAAAACATTGCAATGTTAATTGACAAGACGACGAAAAATATGTTATAAATTACTAGTGATGACTTAACGTGAGTAAAAGTGTAAAGAATATAGTTCCTGTCTAAATTCTTTATATTTGTGAATAGAGAAAAAGATGTAATGTTCATACTTATTACGACAATTACATTATTTTTGCAATTCTTAGTTCATGTGTTTAGAAAACTACGCACATCTTATCTTAAACCAGGTGACACTTTCTTCCCATGTATTTATTGACGCACGTACAAAAACATACGTAGCTCTTTATTTTATTTCTTTCCAAGCACATGCTGAAAATACCTATTTATCTGGACAGAAATGCCATGTCAAGAACAAGGATATCCGGAAGTTCCGTGACGGTATCTATGTCAGTGAGAAGGCAACCGTCGTTGAGGAAGAATGAGTAGTTAGGTTGTAGATTGTTGGTTTTGTTCTGGACCGGTGGTCTTCCCTTTATCATTAAGTTTATGCGGAGATTCCATACAGACTTTTTTGGGACTTCTGAGTTTACAATTTTTTTTTATGATATTTCCAGTTGAAAAACTTGAAAGTGATTTGGCGAGGTTATGGATATAATTCTCCAATTTAAATCACATTACGTTTTTATCAAGTTTGATTGTGTCTATTCTTGCAAGTGACTTTTTCTTGTGGGCATCCATTCTTGTTGTAGTTTGAGTGTATCTCTCTCTCTTAGAGACAAATGCAGTTGTATTATCATACACGTCTTACTTCTTTTTATATATATTATGGACCGACCTCGCCTTCCTGTTGGACCACGGGATTAGTAGATTGGGTATTGAAAAATTTCGCTCATTGTGGCATTCTTGTTCCTGGAATGCAACTGGTCCGAAGTTCTTAAGTGCCAATTGTAGGTGTCTAAGTATTCTTAGTAAAGGTATTTATGCAGTCGGGACTTGTGATTTCTAAAGCAGTGTGTAGAGGTCGAAACCTGAAATTATGGTAAGATCTTTGTTGTGTCCAAACAAATTATTTGTTAGGTGCACTTTTGGTCTTACTATGATCATACTATGATTGTCTCATACTATGATCATCTACATTGTTGGGATGAGATCAAACAGATTAGCTCACAAATCAACAATAATATGTATACCAAAAGAAACCAAAAATGAACTGTAATGGATTAACACAATAAACTGTAAATAACTCGAGCACAAAGATGAACTGAAAACGTATCTTTATTCGAAGGAAGCCCACAGGCTGCACATCAAAGAATATGTGCTTCAATCACAGAATAAATCACCGTTCATGTACAAATCAAACCCCAAAGTAAGATTACAAAAGGATAGACACTCAGACAAACCCTTTATCGCACAAATGAGATCTCCCGTTTGAATACAACACGGTTCACACAAGAACTAAACACTCAACTCAATGAAATCACACAAGATTACAATACTGAGTGAAGAAAATCAGAAATTAAAAGAGTATTTTGATTTCTAAGAAACAAAGGAGAGAACTCTCAAGAACGGCGCATAAAATACGAGCAGAATGGAAGAATCTCGAAGCCAAGTGTGTTGCTCAAACCCTAGAAGCCCCCTTTAAATGAGTCACTCAACAGTCACCAATCTAATGGTGTTGAAGGCGACACGTGGTGACATCTGAGGCGTCCAAGAAATCAGGTTAGTGAAAAACACAACTTTAAACCATTATTCAAAACACGTTTCTTACACCAGGTAAACAAAACAGAAATGAGCTGGGCCAACAAATTCAGCCCAACGTGTATTAGCATCATCGTGCCATTTTCCCTTCATACTCCACCTTGGTACAATGTCGGAGACCATGGATATTCCGAACGGAGCGAAGATCAAGGTGAAAGTAAAAATGATTGAAGTGGAAGGTCCTCGGGGCAAGTTGACCCGGAATTTCAAGCATTTGAATCTGGATTTCCAGTTGATTACCGACGAGGCCACTGGAAAGAGGCAATTGAAGGTCGATGCCTGGTTCGGATCCAGGAAGACCGCCGCCGCCATCCGCACGGTGCTCAGCCACGTTGATAACCTGATCACTGGTGTTCCTAAAGGCTATCGCTACAAGATGCGGTTTGTGTATGCTCACTTTCCGATCAATGCTTCGATCACTAATGGAAACAAGTCCATTGAGATCCGTAACTTCCTTGGAGAGAAAAAGGTCCAAACTTTAGCATTTTACACGCATCATATTAATGTCCATGCATTCATTAGGATAAATATGCGAAAGCGCCTTAATAAAATATTTAGCAGCAGAATAATGTATAACTCGTTTGACATAATGTTGTTAATTGGCTGCATCCTCTTATGTAATGTAATCTCTTTAATTTAATAATTATGCATTGTGCTTTGCATTTACTGGAACTTGTTTTCTCAATTAGAGGAAATGAGAAGTATCTTCTAGAAAGGGAATGCATCTCTCTATTTGATTTTATTTCACAAAATATACTGCATTTTTTATGCTTTAGGAAATATATGTTTGCCTGATTAAGATTATGACATATTGAAACCTCCAATGATATTTACTAGCATCAATAAGAATGAAATTAAAATGAACCGTTTTCTATGTTGATATTATAGGGATAGTAGGATATTTGTTTGCTGTATATTTCGGCATTGATTCTACAGTAATGGCTGCTGAATTGTAGTCTCATAGATCTGGCAACTTCTTTATGCTACGAGTTCCATAGGCTTGCACGTACTTAAGCTTGTTTGTCACCAAAATCAAATTTTGAATTAGGAGTTGTGGATTAAACTATTCTTTCTGCTTATTAAATCAGGTGAGGAAAGTTGGGAACTTCTACAATCAGCTGAGAGCTCCTCAAGATTTTAATGTATCATTATTGATCACAATGTCATAGTTAAAGTCATCTAAAACCCCCAAGGAAATCAGATTTCTTTGTAAATCAGGCACATATCTAGTCTTTTCAAGAATCAACTTTTTATCTCCTTTTAAGTTCAAAGTGATAGTTCCCACTCCTTTT